CTCTAGGTTTTTATTTAGTTATCCTACATTATTGAATGTGACATGCGCTCACACCAAGTTAGCCAAGTTATAATAAGTTCTTAATTATTGTTGCTATTATTATGTTGGTTGTTATTTGAAAGAGTCTTGTGTTAGTGGAATCCAGGTGTCAAGTTATTGTATTAGCGGAGTCCAGGTGTCAAGAAAATGTGTCATATTATTTAGCAACAATTGTGTAATGTCTCACACAAGTTAGCAAATTATTGTTGCTAAACTTTAGACGTAAGTGGCGAGACTTTAGTCAACAATTGTGTAATGTTTCACTATAAATGAGACCCATGTGTTTATCAATAAAGATAAGAGTAAATGACATTATCCCACCCAAGGTTTGACAAATCTACAAGTTTCCACCCCTAGTTTCGTAAATTATATATTCTTACCTTTAAATTAACAGAAAACTGTTTAATCTAATAATTAAAATAGTAAAATAGTCATTTCAAAAATGCAAATTTCAAAATAACCTTTGACGTCGCAAATTCACCCCACTGGCTATTTTAGGTCATTCCAGCCTATTCCCAACACCACCATTACAATCTCCTCAACCCCCATATTAAAACCCATAACCTCCCCGCCTGATTGAACCCCCCAATCGCCAACTGCCGCTCTTAGTTTCAATCGGTATTTCATCCAAATTCCAGCAGGTCTCGGCACTGGAAACCACCCCCAACACCACCAATAGCATCACCGGCTTCCCCCCATCAAAACCCCCAACATCGCCAACCGCAATTACCCGTCGATTGTCGTTGCCTCTCCCTTAGGTTTTCGTGTTTTGTCACACCTTTCTAGCCAAATTTCGACATCTCGTCGAGGTGCAATCGGGTAGAAAAGTTAGGGGTTTTGGTGAGGAGGATAAGGAGATGCTAATGGTGGTGTCGGGGAGGTCCAATGGTATTGGAATCAAGCCAGATTTTTGGCTTGGTCGGGATCCTCCAAGGATTATTTGAGAGAAATTTGAGATGTAAGGGTTATTTTGAGAGAAATGTAACGGTGTTAATTTAAGGGTGGGAATCTACAATTTATGAAACCAAGAGTGGGAACTTGCAGATTCGCCAAACCTTAGGTGGGAAAATGTTGCTTACTCATAAAGATATCAAAATTTGTTAAAGTTTATCTCATTAAGGGTGTGATTAGTTAGGGCTTTGGAAAGATAACTCGGGTAATCTATCATTAATTCTGGACATTCCTTTGTTTGGTTGTCAAGTAATAACATATTTCGGTAATCTTTCAATACAAATAATGATTACTATAGGTTAAATAGGGGGTAATTAGATTACCTCCTCAGGATGTGGTATTTAAAGATTAACAAGGTAATCTTAATTTCATACCCTTTTTGCCCTTAATTAAATACCATTTTTGACACAATTGCCCTCAAATATCTACCAAATAACAATAACCCAGACCCCCTACATTTTAGAATTTAGCTAAAACACCCTAGCCAAAAAAAGTTTAAAAGTTAACAAAATACCCCCAGCCACCAAAGACCACCGTCGGCCACCGAAAATAATCACCATATTGATACATGACCGGCGAGATCTGGCTGATTATGCACCTATCTGGCTGTTTTTGACCAGATCGAAGGCCGAAAATGGTTAGAATAGACGATTTATTCTAGCCATTTCTGGCTAGATCAGCATGGATCTAACTATTTTCGGCTTTCGATCTGGCTGAAAATAGCCAAAACGGTGAATGGCTAGCCTGATCTTGCCGGTTGTGTGCCATTTTGGTGACTGACGCCGGTGGTCGATGCTGGCTGGGGGTATTTTGTTAAAATTTAAACTTTGTTGTTGGAGGTGTTTTAGCTAAATTATCAAATATAGGGGGATTAAAGGAATTTATTTAAATAATAATAATAATAATAATAATAATATTATTATTATTATTATTATTATATTAAAAAGGAAGGGCAATTCAGTAAAAGCCTCTATCAATAATATTTTATTCTTCCCAACCAAACATCTTAATTATTTATACCCACTAATCTAACTAAACACATTGGTATAACATTCCCTCATAATCTTCAAGGTAATATTACCTTTCGAACAATAAAATATTCCCCAAACCAAACGCACCCTAAAGATTGTAAGTTTCCTTGAAGTAACTTAGTGTGAGAATTTCCAAAAAGTGAAAACAGGTTGATCAAGAGCCAAAAGTGTCTTGATTTCTTCCAACTCAAGGCCAAACACTCGCTCTTTGTCCCAACCACGCAACATAATCATGGTTCAGATCATAAATTCAGAAAACTTCAAACTGTTCAAAAGTAGAGTGACAGACTGGTAGGGTGTGTTTGGTTAGGGGTAATGAGGGATTACTGAGGTAATGTTATCTTATATTACTTAGAATATCACGTTTAGTTGTCAAGTAATATAAGATTCCAATAATCTTCGAAAACCAATAGTAATTACTGTTGGTAATATATGAAGTAGTCTAATTACCTCTAATTTCTTAGGTATTTTAAGATTACTTTGTCATCTTATTTTTGTAACAATTTTACTGCTTGTTAATAAAATTTTTGGATAAAAATACCTTTATTTTTAACTTAATTTACATGAATTTGCCATTACAATTTTATCCCGAATTAATTAAGTTTTTGGATATTAATGCCCTTATATTTAAAACAAATTCTAGCCTAACAAAACTACCACTGCCGGTCAAGCAAGTACCGGAATGGCCACCAGCCAGATCTGGCCGTGAATTGCCAAAGATGTGGCTGTGAAATGGCCACAAATCTGGCATGAAAAGGCCAGATCTTTGGCTGTGAAACGACAAAAAATCTAACATTTTCATAGTCAGATCTGTGGTTGTTTCATAACCACATCTTTGTCGGGAAACGGCCATGGATTTATGATCCACGATCGGAAATGGTTTCACTGCCGTAGGACCGGCCAGATCTGGTCAGTCATGCGCCATGCCGGCAGTGGTCGGCGGTGATGGTTGGCTGTCGGTGATGACTTGGGGGGGTGATTTTGTTATAAATTAAAGTTTTATATGGTTGAGGTGTTTTAGCAAAATTTCAAATGTAGGGGTTTGAAAGAAATTATATAAAAAATAATAATAAAAATAATATTTATATTAATATTTAAAAAAGAGGGCAATCTAGTAATCTACATAACATACCCACCAATTTATCCTCCTAACTAAACATATTAATATAACATACCCACCAATTCATTCCAAACTAACCTAACACATTTCCCTAAACTTTCCTAATACTCTCTTTAGGTGCATTTGGATCGGGGTAATATAAGATAACGGGGCTAATCTTCGTTTATTTTGCAAGATTTCATTGTTTGGTTTGCAAGTAAAGAAATATTATAGGTATCTTTTATTGAAAATAGTATTCACTGTTGATAATGTAGGGGATAATCTGATACCCTACCCCAAGGCTGTTATTAAAAGATTACAAGGTCATATGATTTTTAAACTTATTTGCCCTTAATTAAATACCATTTCGGACATAATTGCCCTCAAATGTCTACCAAATAACCATTACCCAGCCCCCCTACATTTGAGAATTTAGCCAAAACACCCCAGCCATAAAAAAGTTTAAAAGTTAACAAAACACCCGCAGCCACCCAAAACCACCGCTAGCCCCCGACATTAGTTGCCGTAATGGCACAATATCGACGGAATCTTACCGGTTGTGCATCAGTAAGGCCTTTTCCGACCATGAATCAATGATCCATGGCCAGAAATAGCCAGATCTGGCCATTTCTATGGTTGTTTCATGGCCAAAGATGTGGGTGTGAAACAGCCATAGATCTGGTCTTGAAACAGCCATGGATTTGTGATCCATGGCCGGAAATGGCTTTGCCAGCGCATAGTCAACCATATACGGCCAGTCGTGCACCATTCCATCGACTACCGGTGGTGGCAACTGGCTACTGGCAGTGGCTTGAGATGAGTAGAAGTGATTTTGCTACAAATTAAAGTTTTATATGGCTGAGGTGTGTTAGCAAAATTTCAAATGTTGGGGGTTAAAAGAAATAATTCAAAATTTTTTTTATTATTATATTAATATTTAAAAAGGAGGGTAATTGAGTAATCTATATAATGCACTCACCCATTTATCCTCTTAACCAAACATATTACTCACTAACTTATTCGAATAAACCAAACACACTTTTTAAACATTCACAATAATCTTCAGGATAATATATCTTTTCATTAATATAATATCTCCTTATAATAAAATATTATATAACCCAAATGCGTCCTTTGATACGGAAGAAATGAAGGGAGGTTTAAGCTGGGATTTAGTTTAGTTTAGTGTGAGAGAGTAAGAGCTAATTATGGGTTATTTTTTAGAGTAGTGCTACAGCCACAGACGATAGTGCATCGAATTTATGCACTAAATAACCTGATAAAATCCTGATTGTTGATTAATATTAAGTTAAAATTAATCAACGATCAGGATTTAATTACGTTATTTGGTGCATAAATTCGGTGTATATGGGAAGTTAATTAGAACCAAATATGTCGAGAAGCAAAGATAGATCACCAATACACCTAGGAGTTGATGGAATCCAGTCAGAAAGTTTGTGGTGGAGGCCAGCGCAAATTTGGAGATAGAGAAGTCAAGGCAGAACAGATATGAATTTCAAGCTTTCTAATAACAACTTTGACTTGAAGTAGGCCTGAAATACCACGACGTAATGGTGCATTATTATTCTAACTTCTACGAAAGTTGATTTAAACTGTTGGATAAATCAGTTGCATTTTAAGATATTACGTTATGCTTACGTGTCCCAACCGCTAATTCTGATCGAAAAAACCCCTGTGACACCCCAGTGATTAGCCCCCTAAGATGATAACGTAAGCATAATGTAGATGATAGCCATTAAGAGGTTACAGCTAACCATGGTTATAATCATCATAATTAGCGGTGACACGTCACGCTTTAATCAGACGGCTCTAATTAACCACCCATCCTCTGTAATCAGGTGACCTCTTGTGCTCTCTCCCTATAAAATAACCCATGATTTGCCCTTACTCGCTCACACTAAACTAAACTAAATCCCAGCTTAAACGTGCTTCATTTCTTCGATATCATCAATGGGTAATCTCTTGTGAGTTTTTTTTTTTTTTTTTCTATTAATTTTAATTTTTCTCTTAATGTTATTCTTTTCGTTTCTTTGATTTGTTCAACAGGAGACAGGAACCGTGACATCCGAATCGCAGGTTAGTTTTTCTTCTTCTTCTTCCTTTTTTTTTTTTTAAAAAAATATTGATTTCATTAATAAAGATAATTAATACGAAGAAGAGTTTCAGTTAAATCTAGTTTAAATTTATTTATTTATTTGAAAATAATTTCTTAATCTAAAAAAATAAACTTTTTTTACAAAATAAAAACATATGAACTCAGTTCAATTATAACAATTTTACATAAAAACATTTGAAAGTTTTAAGTCCCAAACTTGTGAGTTTATGAGGAACTTCACTTATGAACTCAGTTTAAATACTCTTTTTTAATCTCTCTAGGCGGCACTCAGCGGGATAACCAATCACACCATCCCAAGCATCAAGTAGGTTTTCATATTTGGATTTCATATTTATGAACAGGCATCTCCTGATTATTTCTTTCGTTTTGTTTTGTTTAAACTTAACTTATGAACTCAGTTTAAACATTCCTTTTTAATCTCTGTAGGTGGCTCACAAGGATATCGATGACAAGAAAAATGTCGTGCAGCATGTAAGTCTTCATATTTGGATTCCATATATGTGAACGGGCATCTCCTGATTATTTCTTTTGTTTATTTATTTATTTATTTTTTGTTTAAACTTCACTTATGAACTCAGTTTACATACACTTTTTTAATCTCTCTAGGTGACAAAAAACAAGATGGGCCAGGATAACTATATCACGCAGAAAGTAAGTGTTCATATTTTGATTCCATATATGTGAACGGGCATCTCCCGATTTTTTGTTTTGTTTTTTTTTTTTAGTCCCAGACACAAACTTGTGAGCTTAAACTTCACTTATGAACTCAGTTTAAGTACTCTTTTCTAATCTTTCTAGGTGGGATTCGATTACGAAGTCGATAAAGTCAAGCAGAATGTAAGTGTTTATATTTGGATTCCATAAATATGAACGGGCATCTCTGATTATTTCTTTTGTTTTTTTTTATTTAAACTTCACCTATGAACTCAGTTTAAACTTTCTTTTTTAATCTCGGTAGGTGGCAGACAACGTGATTGGTGACAAGAACACTTACATGCAGCGTGTAAGTGTTCATATGTAGATTACATATATATATATATATATGAACGGGCATTTCTTGATTATTTATTTATTATTATTATTTTTTTTTCTCTTGATGGATCTTCTTTTGGAATTACACAACATCCACCACCCACTAACAATTTTACATAAAAACATTTGAAAGTTTTTGGGTCCTAGACAAGAACTTATGAGCTTATGAGAAACTTCACTTATGAACTCAATTTAAATATTCTTTTTTAATCTCTCTAGGTGAAAGCTGAGGGTAATAGGGAAGGAGAACAGATTCCAGCGGGCGAGTAAGTGTTCATATTTGGATTCCATATATATGAACGGGCATCTCCCGATTATTTGTTTCGTTTAATCTTCACTTATGAACTCAGTTTAAAACTCTTTTTTAATCTCACTAGGTCCTCGGATCGAATGGTGACAGAGTAAACACTCTGTTTTAGTCTCTCTAAGTGCTCAGAAGGAATGGTAATAGACGGGTAGTTACTTAGAATATAAATGTCAGAATAAAAGATAGGGTACGAGTTAGTGGGATGATATGTAAAATACTTATCTGCAATGTAAACAGAAATACAGATAATACAATAATACAAATAATACAATATTGATAGGCTATAAGTCAAGAATTACCTTCAGTCAAAACTTTCTATATATATATTATAAATTAATTGACACTTTTTCAAGATAGTTTATAGCATCTCACATGGCTAAGAATTAATTTTGGATCTCTTTAATTAAGTACATTTATTATTTTTACTATTCATTTTTAATGTATAAAATAAATTAAAATTAGCCATTATTGAATATTGGTTATAAAAGAATAAAAGGAGATTCTTTATGAGTTTTTGAGTTTAAGTCTTCTAAGTTTTAATATAAGTAACTGTTGAGGTTTTTATTTAGTTGATACTTTCAGGGCTTTAAACATTAATTGTAGTACGTACAAGTTAAGGTAAACACAAATTGAAACTTTAAATAATAAAATTATGACTTCGAAAGCGTTTTATTTTTCTGGTCTGAATTTGTTAAATGAAAACACTTTTTTTTTTGTTTTTTAAAATATATAATATATATGTATCGAAATTAACAAATTCAACTTAATAATTAAAAAACAAAATTCCCATAAGTAAAACAAATGCGTGCGGATGTATCTTTCTTAATGCTTGAAATGGAAGATTTTGTAAGATAGAAAAGGTCAAAGATATGAAAGTGAAATGAACTCAACTTGATATATGTGTATAAATTTGAAGACAAAATATCAAAGTTCTGTAGTGGAGACTTGTTGAACATCACCATCTTAAAAATCGTGTAAAATCAAACACTTTTCCCAATCCATTTTTGCCCAACTCTTGGGTACACACTAAACATACACGTATATGCATGAAACATTTGATGTATATATTAATTAGTACGGTTACTACATATGTTTAATTTCTGAGGGCTAATTTCTTCCTCTTTTAACTGCTTTTATATATGAGTGATGCTATGGGTTTTAATGGATGAGTATTAATATGTGTACTAATTAAAACATAGTATTTATATTATGTGCATAATATGGGTATTATATTTTAATTAGTATATATATTAGTACTCATCTATTAGTACCCAAAGTATTATTTTATTATATATATATATATACGTCTTGCATGCTTTATACTCAATAGTACACCTGTCATTGGAATTTTGCAATTTTAGTAGTGAAGAAAGAATCAAAGAATAACTGGGGCTGATGACTAAGTAAATTTTCAAAATCGTAATAATTGTTATTTGACTAGGAAATTCCATGTCTTTATTACGTTGAATGCTGGTTCCTTGGGTTCCGAAATGGCACGGTTTTATAGGAACCATTGAACAAACCACCATGGGCACCTCAGCTAATACATCGATCTTAAAAATATCTGTCAAAGTTCCTGTAATTATCAGGAAAGAGTTTTGAATTTAAACATCTTTTTAAATTATATACCAAAAGCCCTTATTAAATCACTTAATCACCTAAAAATATTTATAGATTGTATGTTATTATTAAATCACTTAATCACCCAGAAATATTTATAGGTTGTATGTTAGTGAACAAACAATAATGAGTTGTTTCCAATTATTATCATTAAAGTTTTAAAAACTTTTGATAGACTCAGTCCCACTCCATCTTTTATTCATCGAATATCTTAAATATAAACCATCCTATTAGATTATTCTATCCTAAAAAATAAAAAATATGTTTTAATATTGTTTAAATTTTAATCATATTCTATTCAACTCAAAACATTAAAATTATCTTTCTCAATAAACGTTTATAAATTAACAAAAATACTCTTACTTATCAAAGTCACTATCATCCGTCAGCAGCCACTATCATTGCTAGCTGTCGTCACTGTCACCTTCAGTAGCCAATGTTGGGATAACACATGACCAATTAGATCTGATTGATCATGCATTGATCAGAAACAACTAAATTTATAACCAAAGATTTAGCCATTGCCAATGACCATATCTTAGTTGGTCATATTCTGGTTGTAGATTAGATCTTTTTCAGTTAAATCTATGATAGATCTATCTAAAAAAGACAAGATTGGTGTACAACTGGTCAGATTTAGCTAGTATTACACCATTCTGACGACTGATGACCATCGTGCTGACAATTGATTGAGTGAGTAGGGGATAATACAAATATTTTAAAAAAATATTTTTCAATGATATATCAAACACATCTTCGAAATCCTACCCTATTTAAAATAGGATTTTAGAAATGATATTTTAGAAAGTAAACCAACCGGAGCCATCATTATTATAATAAAGAACATTGTTAATATTAATAATTCAAGCTACTTATTATAACATAATATTTTTCATAAATAGCTACATATAACTGATAGACCATAGCGGTCCTTTCACATTCTCTTGGGTAAAATTCTATAACCTAGCACCGTCACATAACTAGAATTTATAACAGCAATTAATTAAGTAATTTGAATTGGGTCCATTTGATGAACCCTAAGCACATGTACAGTCTCTTCAGAATGTCTCTTCAACGTCAATATCTATGCATGAGTAAATATCAAGCTTTAATCATTCTTTGGGTTGTCCCTTATATATGATTATATCACATTTATACTTTCTTATGATATGGTAGAGATGAGCGGTTCCAGGTACCCTGTATTTTTTAGAAAAATCAGAATCAGAATCGCACAGTGCAGATTCCAAAAAAAAGGAATCGGAACCGGAATCGCATAGTACAGATTCTTCAATTCAAGGAACTGGAACCTAAAATACAGGTTCTGGTTCCTTTCCAGGGTACCCTGTAAAAAATCAATATCCCCCCTATTAGTTTAAAAAATAACAAAAACACCTTATAAGTTTACAAATACACTCCTAACAAATTTTCATTATTAATTCATTTGTGTCAAATGTAATTCATAACCTATAATCTCTAAGCAACACTTGAATTGTTAATCATTTAATTAAGTATTGTAATATTGTTTATAATAGAATGTTATAATTAATTAAATAATCATACCATAAATTTATAATATAATGTTATAATTAATAAAATTATAATAATTTGATTAAGTATTGTTTAAATTAGTAAATTTCTAATGTTTATAATATAATGTCATAATCAATTAAATAATCATTTAATTATGTAATGTTATATTAATTATATGATTATACTATAATAGTATAATGTAATGTTATAATGAATTAAGTAATCATACTATAAATCTATAATTTAATATTATAATTAATTAAATTTCAAATCATTTGATTAATATACTAATGTTTATAATGGAATGTTATAATTGATTAAGTAATCATATTATAAATATATAAGGTAATGTTATAATTAATTAAATTTTTAATCGTTTAATTAAGTAATGTAATAATATAGTAAATTAGTAAATTACTAATGTTTATAATGTAATGTTATAAATTCATAACTAATTATGTAATTATGTAATCATTTAACTATGTAATGCTATAATTAAGTAAGTGATCATAATATATAATGTAATATAATAATATTATAATTTAATTGAGTAATTATTTAACTATAATGTAATGCTTAATTAATGTTTATAATGAAATGTTTATAAGGTAATGTTATAATTAATTAAATTTCTTATCATTTAATTAAGTATTGTGCTAATGTTTATGTAGTAAATTAGTAATTACTAATGTTTAAAACATAATATCATAACTCATAATCAATTAAGTAATCATTTAATTATGTAATGTTATATTAATTATATGATCATACTATAATAGTATAATGTAATGTTATAATGAATTAAGTAATCATACTATAAATCTATAATTTAATATTATAATTAATTAAATTTCAAATCATTTGATTAATATACTAATGTTTATAATAGAATGTTATAATTGATTAAGTAATTATATTATAAATATATAAGGTAATGTTATAATTAATTAAATTTTTAATCGTTTAATTAAGTAATGTAATAATATAGTAAATTAGTAAATTACTAATGTTTATAATGTAATGTTATAAATTCATAACTAATTATGTAATTATGTAATCATTTAACTATGTAATGCTATAATTAAGTAAGTGATCATAATATATAATGTAATATAATAATATTATAATTTAATTGAGTAATTATTTAACTATAATGTAATGTTTAATTAATGTTTATAATGAAATGTTTATAAGGTAATGTTATAATTAATTAAATTTCTTATCATTTAATTAAGTATTGTGCTAATGTTTATGTAGCAAATTAGTAATTACTAATGTTTAAAACATAATATCATAACTCATAATCAATTAAGTAATTATTTAATTATGTAATGTTATAATTAATTATATAATCATACTATAATGTAATGTTATAGTGAATTAACTATTAAATAATCATACTATAAATTTTTAATGTAATATTATAATTAATTAAATTTTTAATCATTTAATTAAGTTTGTACTAATGTTTATATAAAAGTCAATTAATTAAGTAGTAATCAATTAATGTAATGCTATAATTAATTATACTATAAATCAATTAAGTAATGTTATAAAATTATAATTAATTAAGTAATCATTTAACTATAATGTAATGTTATAATTGATTAAGTATGATATTTAACTAGTAATTAAATTTATTAATGTTTATCAATTTATCATATATAATTAATTAATTACTAATTTATTATAGATATACTTAGAACTTGATAATTGAAGTAAATAACTAAATATATTATTACTCAATCAAATATACTATTTTATTCAAAAATAATTCTTTTAATAACATTAAAAATGTAAAACACTTTTAATTGGATCATAATTCCAATTATTCACTTAATTGATCAAAACTTTAATATTAATGTATTATAATATATTAAAGCTTTTAATATGGTGTAATTTATATGTAATAAGTATAATTGTATTCGTATATTTATTTAATTAGGTTATTCTAAAAATTTAATTTTTTCTATTTTAAATTTTTTTATATGTAAAATAATAGAAACTCCCCCATTATTTACAAAATAGGTTCTAAACAGGTTCCAAAAACAGGTTCCAAAACAGGTTCCAAAACAGGTTCCAAACAAGTTCCAAAACAGGTTCCAAAGCAGGTTCCAAATAGGTTC